TCCAGTGCCCAGGCTATTCTCCAGTGCCCAGGCTTTTCTCCAGTGCCCGGGCTATTCTCCAGTGCCCAGGCTATTCTCCAGTGCTCAGGCTTTTCTCCAGTGCCCAGGCTTTTCTCCAGTGCCCAGGCTATTCTCCAGTGCCCAGGCTATTCTCCAGTGCCCAGGCTATTCTCCAGTGCCCAGGCTTTTCTCCAGTGCCCAGGCTTTTCTCCAGTGCCCAGACTATTCTCCAGTGCCCAGACTATTCTCCAGTGCCCAGACTTTTCTCGTGCCCAGGATATTCTCCAGTGTACAGGCTATTCTCCAGTGCCCAAGCTATTCTCCAGTGCCCAAGCTTTTCTCCAGTGCCTAGGCTATTCTCCAGTGCCCAGGCTTTTCTCCAGTGCCCAGACTATTCTCCAGTGCCCAGGCTTTTCTCCAGTGCCAAGGCTATTCTCCAGTGCCAAGGCTATTCTCCAGTGCCAAGGCTATTCTCCAGTGCCAAGGCTATTCTCCAGTGCCAAGGCTATTCTCCAGTGCCCAGACTATTCTTCAGTGCACAGGCTTTTCTCCAGTGCCTAGACTCTAGTGCCCAAGATTCTTCCAAGTGACCAGGCTTTTCCCCAGTGCCTAGACTTTAGTGCCCAGGCTATTCTCCAGTGCCCAGACTTTTCTCCAGTGCCCAGACTATTCTCCAGTGCCCAAACTATTCTCCAGTGGCCAGACTATTTTCCAGTGCCCAGGCTTTTCTCCAGTGCCCAGGCTTTTCTCCAGTGCCCATGCTATTCTCCAGTGTCCAGGCTATTCTCCAGTGCCCAGACTATTCTCCAGTGCCCATGCTATTCTCCAGTGCCCAGGCTTTTCTCCAGTGCCCAGGCTATTCTCCAGTGCCCGGGCTATTCTCCAGTGCCCAGGCTACTCTCCAGTGCTCTGGCTTTTCTACAGTGCCCAGGCTTTTCTCCAGTGCCCAGGCTATTCTCCAGTGCCCAGACTATTCTCCATTGCCCAGGCTATTCTCCAGTGCCCAGGCTTTTCTCCAGTGCCCAGGCTTTTCTCCAGTGCCCAGGCTTTTCTCCAGTGCCCAGGCTTTTTCTCCAGTGCCCAGGCTATTTTCCAGTGCCCAGACTTTTCTCCAGTGCCCAGACTTTTCTCCAGTGCCCAGACTATTCTCCAGTGCCCAGGCTATTGTCCAGTGCCCAGGCTATTTTCCAGTGCCCAGGCTTTTCTCCAGTGCCCAGGCTATTCTCCAGTGCCCAGGTTATTCTCCAGTGTCCAGGCTATTTTCCAGTATCCAGGCTATTTTCCAGTGTCCAGGCTATTTTCCAGTGCCCAGGCTTTTCTTCAGTGCCCAGACTATTCTCCAGTTGCCAGACTATTCTCCAGTGCCCATACTATTTTTCCTCTTGTCCAGGCCTTTCCCCGGTACCCAGTCATCACTGCCCAGGCTTTGCTTCGGTGCCAAGACTTCGGTGCCCAGGCTTTCCTCCAATGCCCAGAATTCTTCCAAGTGTCCAGGCTTTTTCCCTGTGCCCAGGCTTTTCCCTAGACATTAGTGCCCAAGATTCTAAGTGTCCAGGCTTTTTCCCATTGCCCAGGTTTTTTTTTCCAATGCCCAGGCTTTTCTCCAGTGCCCAGGCTATTCTCCAGTACCCAGAATATTCTCCAGTGCCCAGGCTATTCCCCAGTGCCCAGGCTATTCCCCAGTGCCCAGGCTACTCTCTAGTGCCCAGGCTATTCTCCAGTGCCCAGGCTTTTCTCCAGTGCCCAGGCTTTTCTCCAGTGCCCAGGCTTTTCTCCAGTGCCCAGGCTTTTCTCCAGTGCCCAGACTATTCTCCAGTGCCCAGACTATTCTCCAGTGCCCAGACTATTCTCCAGTGCCCAGGCTATTCTCCAGTGCCCAGGCTATTCTCCAGTGCCCAGACTTTTCTCCAGTGCCCAGGCTATTCTCTAGTGCCCAGGCTATTCTCCAGCGCCCAGGCTATTCTCCAGTGCCCAGACTATTGTCCAGTGCCCAGGCTTTTCTCCAGTGCCCAAACTCTAGTGCCCAAGATTCTTCCAAGTGCCCAGGCTTTTCTCCAGTGCCCAGACTATTCTCCAGTGCCCAGACTATTCTCCAGTGCCCAGACTATTCTCCAGTGCCCAGACTATTCTCCAGTGTCCAGGCTATTCTCCAGTGCCCAGACTATTCTCCAGTGCCCAGACTATTCTCCAGTGCCCAGGCTTTTCTCCAGTGCCTAGGCTTTTCTCCAATGCCCAGGCTTTCCTCAGTGCCCAGGCTTTTCTCCAGTGCCCAGGCTTTTCTCCAGT